TTTCTTTCTTTCTTTCTTTCTTTCTTTCTTTCTTTCTTTCTTTCTTTTTTCCTGTTTTGGAGTTTATTTTATTTTATTTTAAAATATTAGTTACAGTTTATTAACTTTGTATCCCAACTGTCACAGTTTTCTTATCGAGAAGCATCATCTGAAATAGTTTCAACTGCTAAGGTTGCATTGACGTGTTTTTGTTTTGTCCTAGAGCTTCTGTTTTCCTGTGGAAAGAATTTTAAATCTCTGGATCAAAAAAAAAATGCTTTTAGGGAAAAAATTTAATTGCTCATTGGGAATTGTTTGATTTTTGTTCCGTAGATGCCGGTGTGTCAGAAGATGTACACGCTGGAGGGACAAGGGGCACGAGGAGGACGGCTAATATGGAACAACTTGTCTCTTTACTTAATGATAAGAGTAAGATGAAAACGGGCATGGCTCTCTGGTGGCAGCAGCTCTGCGCGGTCACCAGGCTTCGCTTCTTGAAGTTAAAGCACGAAAGGAAATCTGTCTTCTTTCTGTGAGTATTAAGTTATCACAGCATTTTCCAATCGTTGCATTAAAGCATGTCTAAGTAGAACAACAGAAACACGATAAAAACATAAATTCTGAAGCAGGCCCATGCCGCTTGGTTCTGTTAACAATCTTGTTTTTTTTTTTTTTTTGTTTGTTTTTTTACACATTATTATATTAATACAATGAATTTTTAAAAAAATGTCTCAGAGAAAGATAGAGCACAGAGTCTTTCTTCATTGCTATTATATCCTTAAAGTCACCACAATAGAAACACTCAAGAACTTAATTTTGTAGGTATGTGTGTGTCCCAATTCCCAGATTTCCCAGAATTCTCTGGAACTGCACTGTGCTTGTGAAGTTGATGGATATCCGAGTTCTCCCGCTTCTCTGCGGCCCTGTGCACAGGCTGCTCCTTCCCGACACTTGCCAAATGCATTTTTAGGAGTTGGACAGAAAAGACATCATTTGACTGTCAGTGGATCTGTCTCACGACACCAGTGCACCCAGTGTCCGCCTCATAGTCATTCATTAAGTTGTCAATCAGCTCCCACACGGGAGCCGGGACAGGATTCCAGTCAATACTTGTTGAATATGTGATTCAAATTGAGGACATTCTCACGATTAAGACTGAGAGAAAAATCTTTGCCGTTATATCAGAAATGCTTTGTAAAGTAGAGTGGGAAAGTCAAGATCTCAGAGGGATGGATGCCAGCTTGGAGAGGACATAAGGATGAGGCATTAGTGCCGTGGTGCTGAGATACGATTTTTAAACTTTATCAAGTGGGGATCAAAGGAAAGAAAAACAGGAAAATAAGAGATGGTTTGAGCCTGCGAGGCTTAGAAAACTGTGTTGCCGTGAGCGAAGCAGTGAAAGTGAGGCTAGATCTCACCTCACTGTTTAAGGAGCCACAATCTAAAACTGCACAGGCTGACCCATGCTCAGGGAGCAGCAAGGGGAGGGTACTGAGGGCGGGTCCACGGCCACCATTCTCATTTTCAAAGGGGAGGGACATGCAAGAACTAAGACAAAGAACCGTACAGGTGAAGTCTGTTTTTAATAATGTCTTCCTTGCACTATATCCATGTCTTAGAAAGAGTTTTGAAGACCGGAAAATGGCAATAGGTCTACATTGTCAATTTTTTTTTCTATGTAGGATTCTGATTTTGGGGGTTGGACTTCTGCATATTTTGTCAGATAATGTTCACAGGATAATAAATCAAAGTGATTACTGTTGGGAGCTGTCTCCTCATCTGTACTTCCTCACTCCTGGCCAACATCCCCAGGAGCCCCTCACTAACCTACTGATCATCAACAAAACAGGTAAAAATGTTGCCAATATGTAGCTTATGAATATTGTCACCATTGAGACCATTGCTTAGAAAAGACACGCACAAAGAAAAGATGAACATGTTTTACACCCAGTTTAGGAATATCAATCCTAAATTGGAACAGTCATTCCAAGAATAAAAGATAAAGGAGATATGTATTATATCAGTAAACACCGAAAATCAAGAGGGTTTGTAGAAAATATTGTGGAAGTTTAATGTCACAGTGATCTTAAAGGGAGATTTGAGAAGTTGGATAAAGCAGCATATTAGTATGAACACATTATAAACTTGAAAACATTTTAGTTTCATGATCACTGTTGTAGCCATCCGTGTATGGCCATGTGTTGTTCAATTCTAGAAAATTCCATTATAAAAGTCACAAGATGTTAACAAATGCAGTTTTAAATCATCAGAGTTAGTTTTCAACTAGAAGCAATCATAAGAACCTGAGAAGAATTATTGCTATCGTTGATCCATATTTTAGAAAGTCTAAACCATACTTAGAAAGAACAATAAAAGAGTCAGCGAGAAGATTCAGAGGGTAAAGGTCTTGCCGTGCAAGCATGAGGACAGAGTTCAGATCCCTAGAGCCCAAATAGATGTTTGTTGGGTATACCTAACTTCTCTTCATGCTGCACCACAACTGTAAGCTGAAGTAAACACACACATACAACCCCACCACCACATATGCAAATTGCTTTTGATCATAGTGTTTCACCACAGCAATAGAAAAGTAACAAGACATCATGCTCCGTTGGGTGTCTTCGTACCAGTACATACATGGCCAGCAGTAACTGGACTCTGGATTAGAAGTCAGGAAGGTGGGGAAGGTGTCAAGGTGGAAGTGTGTCTGAGAGGATTTATGGGAAGCAGTGGGAACAGGGATATGACCAAAATAGATTCTGTGCATCTTTTTTTTCATTATTATTATTATTATTATTATTATTTTACATTTTATTCACTTTGTATCCCCCCATAAGCCCCTCCCTCCTCCCCTTCTGATCCCACCCTCCCTCCCCCTTCTTCATGCATGCCCTTCCCCAAGTCCACTGGTAGGAGAGGTCCTCCTCTCCTTCCATCTGATCTTAGTCTATCAGATCACATCCGGAGTGGCTGCATTGTCATCTTCTGTGGCCTGGTAAGATTGCTCTCCCCTCAGGGGGAGGTGATCAAAGAACAGGCCTATCAGATTGTGTCGGAGGCAGTCCCTCTTCCCATTACTATGTAACCCACTTAGACCCTAAACTGCCATGGATTACATCTGCACAGGGGTTCTAAGTTATCCCTAGAACCTGCTTGGTTTATCTGTCCATCTAAAGAAACCAATCAAGAGAGAGGACCCTGACTAAAATGCTCAATCCCCATCCCGAAAGGCAAAGAGGATGGACATCAGAAAAAGAAGAAGGAAGCAGGAAACAACCTAGGAACCTGCCACAGAGGGCCTCTGAAAGGCTCTGCCCTGCAGACTATCAAAGCAGACGCTGAGACTTTATGGCCAACTGTTGGGCAGAGTGCATGGATTCTGTGCATCTTTGAAATTCTCAAAGAACTAATAAAATATGGACTTGAAAAAGTTGGCTGGATAGGGAGACCATCTCATAGTTCAAGGGGCAGAGACAGTGGGTACCCAGACCAAGCTGGTCAGATAGACTGAGTTGGTAAGCTCTGGCCCAAGTGAGAGACCCTGCTTCAACATATACAGTGAAAACTGATCAAAGAAGAACCCTGACATCCACCTTAGGCCTCCTCATGCATGTGTACACATTTGCTCCCACATATGCTAACATGCATACACATAAATAAAAAAAGAACAAAAGGCATTTGCTCAGAAGAGAAGTATAAGGAGAATTTAAAATCCATACCTTTGTGTGCTGTGACACCCAAATGACTGTGAAGTATAATTTTGACACATAATCTTGATATGTTCCCTTGGTATTATAGCGCCTTTTACATTTCACTGTTTATTAGGAGCAAAGATTGATGACTTCATACGCTCACTGGAGCAGCAGAACATAGGTTTAGAAGTTGATGCCTTTGGGACTAGAAATGGCACAGAAGACACTTTGTACAATGGAGCGATCATAGTATCAGGTGATGAGAAGGTATGTGAATCTCCCTTTAGTGACTGGGCGCAGAGTTATGGCTATGACAGGGAAACTGGATGAAAAATTAAGCCTGAGACATTACGTACAAATAACATATATGTATATATATTCTGTATTTGAGGAGAGAATTTGGACTTCATTCATGAGTTTAATGATAGTAAAGCCATATTCACGCCTAGCTCAATATATAACTATTACCTGAGTTTGAGTCTTGGAACCTACATGGTGGAAAGAGAGAACTGACCTTTGCAAGACATCCTTTGACCCCACACATGCACAATGAACATGTACACACATGCACAGATATAGACACTCGCATTAATAAATAAAAGTAAAAAAATTTAAAAATTTACTTGTTATCTGGAGATTTAGGCCAGAGATGCTAAATTTAATCTGTAAATTAGATGTCTATAAATGTTGCATGGTTTTTTTTGAGGAGATGTGAACAAAGCGAAGACATTATTCTATACTATTCAAGTCTAGTTTCGTGAACCAATATGTTTACTGGGTTTTTTAGAGGAGTTATGAGTGATTCTGGTGTTTGAATCGTTATCAAGTTCACCCCAGCACTGTGGCAATTCCCAAAAGACACATCACTAGAGTTCACGGCACAGCATGTTGACCTCTGTATGGAAGAGTCTCAGCTCCCTCAGTAACTTAACAGTTTCTAAAAGGAGACGAATAGGCCTTGTGATTCTGTGAACTTCTTGATTCTTGTTATTTGTATTTTATTTAAGTTTATGTACTTTGCATCCCAAGGGTAGACCCTCCCTTCTCTCCTCCCAGTCCTTCCTACCCCTCCTTTCCCTTTCCCCTCTCTCTTTTTCCCCAGAAAAAGGGGAGGCCCTCCCCCTATATCAACCCTCCCCAACACATCAAATCACATCATGACTGAGCACATCCTTGTCCACTGAGGCCAGGCAAGGGAGCCCTGCCAGGGGGAAGTGATCCAGAAGCAGACAATAGAGTCCCTCTTCCCTCCCCGACTCGCCAGGCGACCCACATGAAAACCAAGCCACCCATCGGCCACATATGTGCAGGGGTGTAGGTCCAGACCATGCATGCTCCTTAGTTGATGTCTCAGTCTCTGTAATCCCTCGTGGGTCTGGGTTAGTTGTCTCTGTTGGTCTTCTTATGGGGTTCCTGTCCCCTCCAGGTCCTTCCATCTTCCCCCAACACTTCCACAAGAGCCCCAGAGCTCTGCCCCACACTTGGCTACAAGTCTCAGCATCTGTCTCAGTCCACTGCTGGGTGGAGCCTCCCAGATAACAGTCATGTTAGGCTCCTGTCTGCAAGCACAGCAGGACATCAGTAATAGTGTCAGGGACTGGCTCTCTACCATGGGGTGGGTCTCAGGTTGGGCCAATCATTGACTGGACATTCCCTCAATCTCAGTTCCGTCTTTATCCCTGCACTTCTTGTAGGTAGGGTAATTTTTAGGTGAAAGGTTTTGTAGTTGGAATGTTGTATTTCTCCCTCCATTCGTCCTGCCTGGCTAGGGAGGTAGTCGGTTCAGTCTTCATGTCCTCCCCGTTAGGAGTCTCTCTCACCTAGAGTCACACCCATATCCTCCCAGGAACCTACCCTGTCACAGGCCTCCAGCTTTCAAAGATGTGCCCCCCTCCATTTTCCCTTCTTGTCCCCAGCCCTCTCACCTCCCCCCCCCCATTCTTCCCACATCTGATCCCCACCCTCGTTTCACTTCCCATCTCATCTCCTGCCCAGTTCCTTCTCTTCATCCACTTCTGCTGTCTATTCTGTTTCCCCTTCTGAGGGACATTCAGGCACCCTCCCTTGTTACTTAGCTTCTTTCTGTCTGGGGATTGTGATATGGTTATCCTGTACTATAGGTCGAATATTCACTTATAAGTGAGTACATACCATGTGTGTCTTTTTGGGTCTGGCTTACGTCACTCAGAATGATCTCTTCTAGTTCCATTCATTGACCTGCAAATTTCATGATTTCCATATTTTTAATAGCTGAGTAGTATTCCATTGTGTAAATGTACCACAATTTTTATATTCATTCTTTGGGACATCTAGTTTGTTTCCAGTTTCTGGCTATTAGATTAAAGCTTCTATAAACATAGTTGAGCAAATGTCCTTGTTGTATGGCGGAGCATATTTTGAGTATATGCCCAGGAGTGGCATAGCTGGGTCTTGAGGAAGTGCTATTCCCAATTTCCTGAGAAAGCTCCAGCTTGATTCCTAGAGAAGTTGTACAAGTTTTCACTCCTACCAGCAATGGAGGAGTGTTCCCCCTGTTCCATATCCTTTCCAGCATGTGTCCACTTGAGTTTTTGATCTTAGCCATTCTGATGGTGTAAGATGTCTATGGCCATATCACCCTGAATTCACCTGATCGCATCTGAAAACTTCTTGATTCTTATCCATCTCACTTCTCCATCCAGGAAGGAATGTTTCAATTTCAAAGAAATGGATACATGACAGTAGTCATAATTACTCTGTCCCATTAAGGTTTGTTTTAAATCTTAACTATGTCCTATTTCATAACCAAGGTATTTTTAAAATGGTGGCGTTGATTTGTGCATCTTCAAAGAAAGGGGGATTAAAAAACCACTGAGCATTTCGCCAGCCACATTAGAGAATACACCATCCTGTCTCTATTTGAAAAGGGCGTTTGCATGTTTCACACCCCGGCTTTATGTTTTCTCCTTCCAGACTGATGATTTTTGTGTTCCCTTTTAGAATTACAACTTTACACTAGCATGCAATGTCAAGAGACTGAATTGTTTTCCGGTTCTGGTGGACATTGTGAGTAACGCTCTGCTTGGACTGTTCACACCATCGGCACGCATTCACACTGACCGCAGCACGTACCATGAGGTTGGTATATTCTTGTACATTCTACTGTATAGGGAGTTTTCTGGATTGTTCCATTCACAATGATCTCAAAGTTGGTTAAAGAGCAGCATTTGCACCTATCCTAGTGTATATTTAAATTAACTGGGTGTATAGTATGTTACAGTATATGACACGTGACCTGCATACTCAGTTGAGCTATTGCCTGTAAGCACTAAATGATAAATTAGGAAAGAGAATATGAGCATGCTGACTCACACTACAATCCTAGCTCTTACGGGGTTAGGGCAGAAACATTATGAGTGCAAGGCTAACTTGTATTACGTAATAATGCCATGCTAAAGAAATCAAAGGAAAAAGGAGGAAAGGGAGGAGAAGGTGCAAAAAGAAAAAGAAAAGAAAAAAACCAACAAGGATATGAAATTTATGAGTTGGAATTCCTGAATATTAAATTGGTTGCATTGGTTTAAACTGACAAAAATATCACAATAATTATTGGAAGCCTAAAAATATTGACCAGCTTTAAGTGTCAGCCTAAATTTTAGGATTTTGTAATCATAATATCGCCTTGGTCTCATTATTGCTTTCCATTTTCAAAATCATATTATGCAGCTGCTTTCAAATGCTTACCTATAAAATTGGATACATAAGCAAAATCCATGTTGAAAATTGGATTAAGATGTCAGGTAGTGGAAACCTCTAAAGAAACTCAAGGTGGTCTTTTAGGCAAGTGATTATATTTTTAGCAATGTAATCCAGACAATGGTCTTCAACTTGCCACATTAAGCTCACTGCACTATCTCCATTCCTAGGATGAAGAACACTTGCGATTTGATTACATGTTTTATTTCTTCTCATGGATCATCCTCATGGCCTCTGTTCCTCCTTACATTTCCATGACCAGCGTTGATGACTATAAGGTAGTAGAAAATAATGAAAACTTTAGTTGATTTAAACAATTAGAAGCTGTTTATAATGTGAGTATAGGACTTTTCCTCAATATGGTGTGCATGTTTCCACACTGAGCAGTCGATACACACATGACTGCACATTATAGAAATAAGAAGGAAGAAGGAAATAAAGGAAGGGAAACGGAAGGACGAGGGAAGGACAAATGGAAAAATAAAGAGAAAAGAAAATGAGAAATCTTTGTTTCCTTCTGAATAACGGCAGCATAGTAATGAGACTTGGTCCCTAAAACTGAATCTTTTCAGTAGAAGACTGGGGTGAAATTCCTTAGAAAAAGAAAAATTTGACAAGTTTCTTCTTGGAACTACTTTGTGGAACACAAGAAATATTTGAAGCATCACACAAAGATCTTATTAAACTAAAAGAATGTGGAATCTAAAAAGTTTAAAGTGGCTGGAATGTACATCTAGGTGTACTGGAAAAGAATAGATTACACAGAGCAAAGGCTGTAGAAACTCTGCACAAGGGTTGCTTAGATCTGTTGCCAGGAGAGCTGCGTCTGCACAGTAGAACTTCATGATGTCAAGAAGGTGCAGATCTCTGTAAGATGAGCAAGTTCAAGAAGTTACACAAAAGATTCAACTTTGCAGTAAGACTTAATCAACTGAGAACAGACTCAGAGATGACAAAGAAAAGAAGTAACATTAAGAAGAAGAAGAAGAAGAAGAAGAAGAAGAAGAAGAAGAAGAAGAAGAAGAAGAAGAAGAAGAAGAAGAAGAAGAAGAAATTACCATGACCAAGGACTAAACTAAAAGAATGAACACGGGAAAGAGAGAAAGGGAGGGAAGTTGTAAAATAAACAAACAAACAAAACGAGTCAAGTGATACTCCGATAAGTAGCTGACATCTGTGTGACAAATAATGAATGTGACCTGTAGAATAAACACACAGGTAAAAGAGAATGAGCTGGAAGCCAGCAGCAATAGGCAGTAGAACTGAAGCCCAAATTGAAAAACAACTCTGAAAAAAAACATAATCTGAGCGTTAATGATTCATGGGACAATACTAGATTATCCAAAGCAGAAGAGATAGGAAAAAAATGTTACAAAACACACTTGGGGAAAAAAAGACTTTCAAAATTTCACTTAGTACAAAACTTAGTGCAGTATAGATCTGGAACATAAAATAACTACACAGAGTCAATATATATTACTATGAAATGAATATCTTCATGGACTCCCTAGGCTTCTCCCAGTGTTTGTCTCAGTATCTGTATAAAATCATTGCTGGGTGGAGCCTCTAAGAGGACAGCTCTGGTAGCTCCTGTCTGCAAGCATATCAGAGAATCATTAATAGTGATAGGGGCTGGCTCTTTTCCATGGGGTGGGTCTTAGGGTTGGGCCCAGCGTTGGCTGGACATTTCCTCAACCTCTGCTCTATCTGTTCTATCTTTGTCCCTGCGGGTCTTGTAGGTAGGTAAGTTTTGGATTGAGGTTTTTGTGGGTGGGTTGGTGATCTCCTCTGTCTACTAGGAGCCTTGTCTAGATGAAGGGTGTCCTTTTCAGCCTCCATGGCCTCTGCTACTAGGAGTCTTAGCTAGAGTCCCCCTTCATATCCTCCCAGAGGCTTATTCTGGTTTAGGTCTGCAGCTTGTCACAGAGAAGCCCCCACCCACCATCTCTCTTTTCTCTGCAGGCCTTCTGCCTTCCTGCCCTTACTCTCCCCAGGTCTGATATCCACCCTTATTTCTCTCTTCACCATCTCTTCTACCTTGTTCCCACTCTTCAACCACTGTCTATTATGCTTTCCCCTTCCGAGTGAGATTTACGCATCCTTCCTTGGGTCCTCCTTGTTACTTATCTTCTTGGGGTCTGTGCATTGTAGTATGTCCATCCTGTACTATATGAAAGAGGAGAGAAGGATAAATGGACAGAGAGGTGACAAAAGCTCCACAAGAAGACCATCAGAACCAATCAACCAGGGCCCAGAAGGGCCTGTGGAGTCTGAAGCACCAACCAAGGACAAAACATAATCTGGAACTAGGTCCTCTACTTATAAGTAGCTGATGGGCATCTTAGGCTTCATGTGGGCCCACTAGATAGGGGAGTTGGGTATATCTCTGACATGGACTAGGTTGCCTGCTTTTTGATCACTTCCCTCTGATGGGACTTTCTTACCAGGCCACAGTAGGAAGACGAACTCAGTCCTCATGTGAATAGATGAGCTGGGGTGTCTGGGCAAGGGGGCTCTCCTATTCTCAGGAATAGGGGAGGGGGATGTGGGAGGGAGAGTAGGACAGGGAGGAGAAGAGGAAGGGGCCTATGACCAAATATAAATTGAATTAATTAATTAAAAATGAGAAAAGGCAAAGAGGATGGACATCCAAAGAAGAAGAAAACAGGAAACAACCTAGGAACCTGCTACAGAGGGCCTCTGAAAGTCAGAAGAAGAAAACAGGAAACAACCTAGGAACCTGCCACAGAGGGCCTCTGAAAGCCTCTGCCATGCAGACTGTGAAAGCAGATGCTGAGCCTGATGGCCAACTGACAGGCAGAGTGAATGGAATTTTATGTAAGAAGTGGGAAATAGTAAGAGCTGGAGAGGACAGGGTCTCCACAAGGAGAGCAACAGAACAAGAAAATTTGAACACAGGGAACTTCCCAGAGACTCATACTCCTACCAAGGACTATTCATGGAGATAACCTAGAACCCTGACAATGCAGCCACTTCTGATGAGAACTGATAGACTAAGATCAGAAAGAAGGAGAGGAGGACCTCCCCTATCAGTGGACTTGGGGAGGGGCATGCATGCAGAAAGGGGGGGGGAGGGTGGGACCAAGAGGGGAGGAGGGAGGAGCTTATGGGGGGATACAAAATGAATAAAGTGTAATTAATAAAAGTTAAAAAAATGAGAAACTACAAAGATATCTAAAAGTATTGTGCAATATACAATTATCTACAGGATTTTAATTACTCATTTTTATTCAGGATAAACCAATGAGACAATTCTACACAGAAAAAAATAGCTACCTTCATTTGTGTAAGGGATAAATTGTATTACCACTGAGAGCTAATACTTAGATGGGGGAATTTTCTCAGTAGGACATTAAGTCAGTAATGATTGACTGTCTGCACTATTGATCTGACAGTAACTCTCATGATTTTGTTTTGTTAACTGCAATAGCATACTAGGATAAATTCTTTTTATTAGTAACAACAGCAAATTTTATTAGAGAAGCTTTGAAATGATCCTGTTCCTTAGTCTGTGTAGTCAAACATCACTAATACCGAACATCTCATTTGGTGGTTTTTCTGTGTGCCTTACCTTTTCACAAAAATAATACACAATGGATGATTGTACTGTCTTATCAGAACAGAGCTCAGTTCCAGCTGTGGATTTCCGGTCTCTGCCCATCTGCATACTGGTTTGGGCAGGCTCTGTTTGAGGTTCCAATCTACTGCTTGCTCATTTTTTCTATGTATGTCGCATTCAATGCCTGGGCCCCTCAAGAGAGGATGTTTACAACCAGAGATCTGTTTATTCAGGTGAGTGACACATTTTAAAACAACTATCATTAACTGATTCAACCCAAAAAATTATAATAATATACAATATACTATTTTAGTTCTTAATATTTTAATTTCTTTCATAAGAAAGAAACTATCATTAACTGATTCAACCCAAAAAATTATAATAATATATAATATACTATTTTAGTTTTTAATTTCTTTCATAAGACTTTCTTAGTGTGGTTAAAATGTTAAAATACATATGATGAAAAATTGTTCCTTCCTTCCACTCTCTCTTTCTCTCTTTTTCTTTCTTTCTTTCTTTCTTTCTTTCTTTCTTTCTTTCTTTCTTTCTTTC